GGAAAATGTATGTTAAAAGATGAAAAGAGTAATTTTTTTTCAAAAGCTAGTTTGCAAGAAGAAATGCTCAAAATGGTATTCAGGTGATATGTCTTTGGATATCTACAACACGATCACAGCATTAATTGCACCAAGAATCACGTGGTGTTTAACACTGCCATTTTCCAGAGAGCTCTGTAACAATACTTTCTTGCATGCACTCAGCCCAAGAGTTATGCCCGTAGACTGAGACTTAGGAAACCTGTAAGTAATTTTAAGAAGAGGAAACTACCTGTATTACTGAGATACTTTGGGTTTGCTAGATATAATTTGGTCAGTGCATCTTTCACTACAGAACATTTGAGGCAAGGGGTGGGAAAAAGGTTTATTCTTGGGCTTCACATTACATGTGACACTTTAGAGACATGCTATTTGATATGACGTAAATTCCTAAAAACCCAAATGAAGCTAACACTATCCTGTAAATCTTACAAAAGAAACAGCAGCTTTCCCTGGTTTTACAAAGCTTTCATTTTAAAGGGAAAATACAAGAAGTGACATTACTGTACACTCCCCTCATTGCTCTGGGTTTCCAGTATTAAAATACAAAAGGCCCAAACGTTCTTGGCTGAATGAACAAGTATTCTTACAAGCATGAGAACAGTGGAATGTATGCTAAAGGGTGGGAAAGCTGAAAGGTGTTTATCCTTTTGTCTCCACATACAACAACAAATGGGGAAAAAAAAATCTCAGTCCCTCGCTGCATCCCCTGGGCTCCTCTTCACCTTCCCCAGAGGGGACTGGACTCCTGAGAAATGCCCTCCAACGACTCCCGTACAGGTGGAAAGAGATTGTATGCTGTAAGCGTCCCCCACGCTCAGTAGTCTGGTCAGTGCAGTCTCAATTCTGGTAGACCCCAGGGGTACTCGGCACTTTTTCCATGAAGCGGAGGGAGCATTCACATACATGCAGTGACCTCTAACGGCTACAGACTGAACAGGGCACCCGAGTGCTGCCATCCCAGCTGTGGGACTCCCCGGGGACCTTCCTGAGTGGGTCTGAGATTACGCTTTCTGATTGGAGAAAAATGCCCACCCATCAGGCTGGGAGTCATTCTGGGTGGAAAATGGCTCTGCTACTCCTTTGTCCTGCAGAACGGTATGGGCAAGCATCGGGTCAGAAGGGGAAGAAGGAAGAGGGGTCCTGACCCAGCATTTCAAGAACTGAAGCCGGCTTAGATGCAGCCTCTGCTCCAGGGACTGCATTCTTCATTCTTGATGAATGGCATTAAGGTCTTAGTTCAAGCAAAATACTGTAGACAATGCTGATGTTAGATAATTATTGCATAATTTATGATGTGAAAAATCTAAAATAAAGAAAAAACTCACTTGTTCATGAATATCAACATACTTCAGGCAAGAAACGTATGGCTTTAAGCTAGAGTCACTAAGGCAAGTGTTTTCAATTTAGTTTAGGTTAAGAGTAAATAAGTAACAGGATAATACGTCCACATAACAAACCTGTATTTCTAACTGCTGAACCACTTGCATTTGCACCCGACATTGAGCAGTGCTTCTGTCATCCAATGCATGTTCATTGTTAAGGTGCCTACAAAAGAAAGAGAAAGCTAGTAAGACAGTGTTAAGATGAGGATAATTTCTTTATGAGCCCATTTTTCTCTCCTGTGCATATGGTTTCCATTAGGTTCAACAGGAGTCATGCAAAAAGACCTAGTCAGAGCATGCCTCAGATATGACAATACAGAATAATAAACCTGATTATTTCATTCTGATCTACAAACTTTCTTGGTGATGACTGCCAGATACCCAGCTCCTATCTTCCAGGTCACATATGCCACCTAAAGGTCAATGCAACTGGTTATCAATATTTGGCAGAGTGACTCAGCTGATGTCCACTCCTTGTTACTGGTGCAGATGAACAGAAAATCACCTAACAAATGATTTTTCAAAAGACAATAGTTACTTTTACACTGCTTGAACTACTGTGAATTAATGTAGACTTTCTCAAGATTTCTCTACCTGCTCTTCTTTAATTATTAAGCAAAAACACCAACAGAAACTCTGTTCCACCCTCCCCAAAACAGAGCAGTAGGGGAAAGTGACTGATTTTCCTTGCAGTTTCCAGAAGTAGCCTCTGAAGAGGATGGCAGTGATCAGGCTCCCCAGTACAAGGAAGAGTGTGCAAGATAAAAGTAGGGGAAAGAACAACGACGTACCTTACACACAGGGAGGACAGTTTTTCGAAAACACAACCACACTGTGCAACAGACAAGGAGGACCCCAGCGTGCGGCTGTCCATAACTAAAACACAGACCCCAGTGGGCGTCCCAGTACACTTCAATCAGGTGCAAATTTACAAAGCTCCTTGGTTTTTCATGGACAGTGGTTTCAGTTCATTCTCTCTCTTTTTTTAGGCTCAAAGAAGTCCCTTTTTCAGCTTTAATAGTGTTTTGCCCCTCCACCGAGAAGAAAACAGAAGGATAAGGCTAAAGAAGAAATGGGAGTAAAGGAGTTTTGCCGTTGAATGTGGATTTACTGGCTATTTCCAGTGTAGACATGAGGGATAAGCTTTGCAGGGACTATGGTGATGGATGGTCTTACAGTTACAGGAACTAAGTTACCAGTATCATGGAAGAAATATATCTTCTCCTTTTTCTTTTTTTTAAGAAGAATTAAGCAGAGAACTATGTAGTTATTTGATAGGTAACCTAAGGGAAAACTGTATGCGTTAGGAAGAGTAGAAAAATAGAGGGGACTGCTCCTCATTTCTACTAGAATTTATCTCTTTTTATTTAAATCCCGATTTCATTGTTTTAGGACCCAATGATAGGGTTTGCAGGTGAGCAAAATACAACAGGTTCTGCTCTCCTTATAAGAGGCACGTCTGGGGAAGAGTTGTAAGTAATTATGAAATATTTTGTTCTTCTTGTAATATAAAATTGTTTAAGAGTATACATGTAACTTGCTTGGTAGTTTATGCTAAGTTCAAGCATCACCAAGGATACCATATTTCCTTTACCTGAGACATAACACCTACAATTCCTTTATATTCAGAAAAACTGACTTAATTCCCCCTGTTGATGCAAAAATGCACAAACAGTTTAAAAATTAGGTAATTGATCAGAACATACCAGTCACTTTTTTCCGAAATTTTGATTCAAAAGAATTTTAGTCCTTTAATTACACAGGCATGATAGTTTGTGATCTGTTAAGAATGGTTTAATGTTTTCAGTTAAATGGGTACAAAATTGCCAGAAAAAGGACTGGAGACAGTTTTTCTGTCTGCATCATCACCACTGTCACCGGTACACACCACATGCATGTGTTTCTACATGCATGTATGCTGACCTACGCATGCACAAAGGTATACATGTATAACACATGACAGCAAGCACTGGTATAGGTATAAAAGATCTCCTGGCCTGAGTTTGAGGTTACTGCCTACTCATGATTATTTATTAGTTATTACAACACCATATGTTTGCATAACACCTTACAAAATAGATACAGACACAGTCCTTGCCCTGAGGAACTTTAAATGTAACAGCAGTATGCAGTGTGGGAGAAGAAAGTCCAGTATAATGTAATTTCAATATGTTTACACGGTAACTTGGGAGACTGTTGCATGTTTCCTGGGAGTTAACACAGTAATCTTTGGAAACTGAAGAGATATAGACAACCCTTATGCCATACTTTCACGTCATGTGCTTACTTGTGCTGTGCATTTTAGAAAAAAGCTATTTTGTGGAGACATTAAGAGTATAAAAATTGTTTTAAGAATTATTTTTTCTGATCTTTTTTGCCTGTGAAGTAGGCTTGCTTTATTTATCATGCATGTACAGGCAATGTAGTGAAAGAAAAACTAGGTCTAATGCATTTTTAAAAGCTTCTAAAATAACTTTTCTCTGTATAAAGTTGCTGCAGTTTTAGGGTCTGCATACTGCAAGCTGCCAAGACAGACATACATTCTTTCCTCCAGAAGGCTGGGAATCATTCCAAAGGGTGGGTTTTTTTTGTTTCTTGTCATTCCTTTTAAGTTATGTACAAGTTGTCCTGGTCAATTTTCATACTTCATCGGCATATTCCTAATCTTTTATCTTGTCTGCATACCTTATTAATCCCATGTTAACTTGATTTATAATTGAGAAAAACAGATTTTTTTTTTTAAGGGGAGAAAATATCTTAGATGACTGGAAAGTGTTCCTGAAGAGCTGAGTTATTGGGTTGGAAGTGTAAAGTGAACTGTGCAACACACATGCAGCATACTTCATTATTTTGCTGTTTATTCAGTTGTTGAAAGAAACTGCATTTTCTCCTGATTAGATCCGCAACATATTAGGAAGTCAGGAGGCAAATTATAAACTACACGTGGCACTATAAAGCAGACTAGAAGGAATGTATTATTGATAACTGAACAATATAAACAGTACAGCATGTCCTAAAAGAGGTAATAGATAGGGGATGATATATTGTAGGAACACCCTGGAATAAATATTGAAGTGGGTCAAAATGTACTTTTTTCCTTGCAAACAGATCTGCAGTCTGCAAAGCAAAAGATAATACACTATTAGAGGAAAGAAGAGAGATAGTTTCAACAAAAATTCTAGTGGACATTTACCCATATCAATTAACCTCTATATAACTTGGCAGTCTTGTCAGTCTCTCTCAAAAGCAGCCCAGGACTAAAATAGCAAAGTGCTATAGGTCAGGATGAGGTGCCCTGGCAGAGTTACGTGGAGGAATACACACAGAACCTGTCTGCACTGTGCTCAGTTCCAGCCAGAGCTATTATAAGCTTCTCTTTAATGAGCACTAAAATTCAGTCACACATTTTTAAAAGGAGAGCGTATGTTCCTAAACCATGATTGGTTTATGTTAGAAATTTCAAATGAAAATATTTGAAAAAAACTGACATTTACATACTGAACATCATTGGCAATGATGTTCTTTAATGTTTTTAATTGCACAATTTAACTTAATTTTTTAAGAAACGTGGCATAC